AAAATCTGAATCAAACAATCAGTCTGAATCAACATCATCAAAACAATTTGATGATGATTCTAACCGTGTATAAATTAAGACGCGTCAAAAAAAATAATCTTATGAACACTTGTCCCTTCGGTAAAAGAGAAGAAATCTCCGTAATATTGTTTGTATGTCAAGCACGCTTTTTTCCTTGTTTTTGGTAAAATTTTATTCTGGAATCTTTTGTCTTCCTATTCGTGGTATCAATAATAAATACCTTTTTATTCAACCAGCGCACATTTAAAAAGTGTATAGTATCCTTTGGAAATATAATATTGTGCGTGTGCGTGTGTGTCCAGAACAGGTTATATTTTTTTCTTTACTCGATACAGACATATACACACAATACATTCTTTTAGTGTTTAGCCGCCACTATCATCAAATTGACTGAGAATAGCTGCAATTAATCACTTAGACATAGTTGTGTGACTTTAAGTGTAATTGTTAAAAATGACGACATTTTATTGATTAATCGCTCAATAAATTGAACTTCAGAAAGCGCAACATAAGAAGAAAGTATGTTTGTTCACCGGAACATTTACCTTATTTGATAATAATTATATGGAGAAAAATACTTTTTTTTGTTCTATATAATTTGCCACTAATTGTCATCAAAGCAAATGTATGAATGTAAAGGAAAAATAGGAATATAAATTGTAATCGGGACAAAACATCGAAGAATTCAAGCATGCTTTAGTCTGATGGATTAGGACAAAGAGAAGTTTATACTAGGACTAAATAGTGTTAAACTTTCTCTATGTTTAGTTCTCAAAAAAACTTTTTTTTTGTAATAATCAGTTAAACGCAACTAACCTTGTCATTTTGATAATTATTTAAATTCAAATAATTAACACCACAACATAACAATCTAAATATCAATAATCTTTGATGGACATCATGATCACTTGACTAAGAGTAAGAGTTATAAATGTTTAAAAATACTTTGCAGTTGCAAAGATCATAAAAGATTTGCACATAGTGAAAAAGAACTGAAAGACATATAATAAATATACGGAGAAAGAAGAAAAAAAATGATTTGATATTTTTCTGTAAATTCAGATATACATATGACGAGAGAAAAGAAATGTTCAAAAAAAAGGAAAGAGAAGAGAAAAGAAAAGAAAACAGAAGCTAAAAGGAAAGAGGAAGAGTTACAATAATTCAGTAATCTTTAATAATATGTTTAATTGTTTAACTTCACTATGAACTTATTTATTCATCAACTTATTAGTTTAAAACATCTCTACACAGATAGTTTACCTAGTTGAAAATAATAGAAAAACTTTTCTTTTTCTATCTTCAAGGTTATAGAAGTTCGTTTTTTTTCTCATTGTCTGACATAAACTCTTGTAACGATCAAGTATCTGTAATAATAACAATAATAATGCTCGAGGTCATTTTTTTTTCCTAGAGACGGAAATGGAATACTTTACATATTTATAATCTTTTGAGCAGCTCTCTATATTTATTGTTAGTGTTTATCTGATTTTCAAAAGTGTTCATACATAAGATTCTTTTCTCTCAGTTTTTAAACCCACATACACTATATATTGTTGCATTATAATTCTCAATGGTCATTCAACAAACACAGAGATTAATGTTGTATTTTCATCATAACAGAAAAAGAACTTATTCTATTGAACAACATGCAACATTCTAATGTGCTAAAAAAATTGAACTTACATAAAAAAAAAAGGAGAAAAATGTGTTATAATGGGCTGAGAAAGCTGACAATTCAGAAATAGGTGATATAATTCCCTAATCAACCAAACATCACACCTAAGACATTCAAACCGACAATACTGACTGTTCTTAAAAAAATCTGCACTTTCTTAATCCGCAAAGAGAAAAACAGTAAAAAATCTTCTCTGAGAGTCTTTTATACTTACACTTCGTTCTTCTAATGTCAAAGAGAATGATCTCTAGTAATTCGCTGCTATTTTACAATGGTTTTGTGATCGATAGTAGTTTAAAACTTGTAGTACTACCTGGGTTTATAACTATGATCACTCGAGTTAACGTAGAGTCATACTTTTATATATTTATGTCTGTAAACTTTAATTAACATTTCTAAATCTTTTACTGAGAAATACGTTTTTTCGACTAGGATATTTTCATAAAATAATCATTGAGGAGAGCATCTTGTTCCGCTTTGATTTAGTCAAACTACTTATCACCCGAATATCAAACAGAACTTCATTGGCTTTGAGAAATACTTCAATTTAAACATAAACCATCTACTGATTCATCATTATTTCCATTCAAAACGGCTGAAGAATTGATATTTCTTACCGAGAGATACTATGGCAGCCTTCTCAATACGTATCATGAAACGCTTATTAACAAATTAAACTTATGTGATTATGTGCAATTGTTTATTTTTCTTTCCTTGTTCTAACTCATTCTCTCCACTATCTTATATTTTCTTCTTTTTTTTCATTGCTACATTAGCGATGACGTGCGAAAAGTTTTTAGTTTTGTCATTTCCTTGCCAGATTTTACATCTATGACAAAATAACATGTATATGTTTGTATGCAAGCTTCTTAAAATCTTTCAATAACAACAGACACACATGTGATATGTGTCAACATCAACATCAACTACTGGACGGTATCCATTCTCAAAAATGAAATCAACATTGGATAATCTTGTTTAACACATGCTTAAGAAATATGAAAAAAGGCAATACGTTCTCTTTTTTAAATTTCAAAATAAATTATTTCAAACAGACATTCGTTATTTTGGTTAATTTCCTATATATATTATTTTGTAAATATTTCGCTGTTTTCAGAATGTCACTACTATAATTCTGCTCATAGACATGTGACATGATAACAATTAAAAATTATGTGAAATTTCATTAAAAACAATTAAATTGCATATGTATTCTTCGCCTTTGCAAAAATGCTATTTAAATTTTGAGACTATTTAAATCCATGACTTTCGAATTTCAATATTTTTGTCGACAGTTACTGAACTAAGAAATATGATAGATTCTAGCACATCACTGGTCTTTCACATGAGATTTTATAAAATATAAAGAAGCTAGTTATGTGGTTCGAAGGAATGAAATCTAGTTTATATAAATTCGTTACTTCTAGAACTCCGCCTACTTTTAATAAAAAGTGAATATGTCTGTGTCTCACACTTTTAGATTAGTAAATAAAACACAGACTGTATAGAAAGAAAGACAGCTAACAAAAAATATAAAAAATGTCTTGATAATTCATTTGAAATTGGAGCTGGTAGTACTTTTTTCAGTTTATAAAAATTAGAAGAAATATATTGCTAAGAGGACTGATAATAGTCTCAAAACAAAGAATTACAAAATCAATATTTTGTTGTTCATCAATTTTTTGGGATTCGAGTTGTTTCGCTCTTCATTTTATATGCCAGATGTTTTGTTGTTCTAGATTACGATACTATCCCAGGATCATTGTAGAAACCATTGTAAAATGGCGACGAATTTTTTGACAAACTCATCATGATGAAGAGAAGAATGTCTTCTTCAAAATGAGAGGTTCTGCAGATCAGTTCTCAGCTTTACTTATAATTACTATCGGCGCCAAAATACAAGACCGGTGGTTATTTTTTGAATAACTCAAAAGGAATAAAAGATAGAGACTTGCGGTTTTCATCATTTGCTAGCCAAGACTTGGAGCTATATTTTCATAAGTAAAAACGAATTTGGAAATTATTTCAAAGACCAGTTTTTCAAGAGACCTGTGGAAAACAGTTTGGTTCTCTGAAAACTACATAGAAATCTATGGATTTTTTTTCATAGACATAGAGTTCGAAGTGTTCTTTACAAAACTGGATATAAGCGACATTTGGAAATCCTTGGTTCGGGAGCTATGGATGTTTTTTCGAAAGCCTTAGCATTCCTCTACCGTTAGGTTTAGGACCGCCAGAATTGAAAACATAGGTCATCGCTGAATCTCGTAGCAATGTTGGTTTTCAGAACAAAATGTAACACCCGAGCGAAACCTATACTAGGTAAAATAATCCATTTTAATTACGAGGGAAGTATCCCAAACTGCAAATCGTTTTTTCAATGAGACTAGGTGGACTATATGTAATTAATGGCACTGATTCCGAATATAAACATCGAAGTTGCTGTCAGGCTTTCGTTGATCGATTTTCTGCCAACTGGATCTTCAGAAAATCATGAACCAAATCCAGAAAACTTTTCTGATACAACCACTTTATAGAGGACACAAAACTGTCTATTGTCCATAAGTTTTAGTTTTTCAATACAAAAATTAACAGCATAGAAAAATTTCCCAAAAGAATGGCTACGTTGACGGAAAAATGTTACAGTAGGATACTTTGCAAAAATGGTAGCACCGTTCTATGATATTCTGAAATACTAAAACTTATTTAATGTAGATAGTTTTGTGTCCTCTACAAAATGGCTGTGTCAGAAAAGTTTTCGGGATTTGGCTCATGGTTTTCTGAAGACCCAGTTGCCAGAAAACCGGTCAACGAATCAATATTCATCGAATCTACTTCAGAATGTCAGGAAATACTCTATTTTATCTGTTCATTCTGATTCGGTAAGTAAAATCAATAAAAAATATTCGCTTAGTTCCCAAGGTTCTTGTGAAACATTTCTAGAAATCAAAGTATTTTCTGTTGGTTTTCTATCTTTCATGTAAAATAGGCACGCTTATTGGTTAATGTCTTTCGATAACACAGAGGATTAAAGGAGAAGAAGAGTTTCTCCAAAACATATTTTCTGTTTATTCGCAAGTTTATATCATATAATTTGATGCTGCGTAATATACAGTAGAAAAAAACATAAGAGCAGATTTAAAGGTTGAGTTCTCTAATGAAAATACACAAAACACACAAAACAAAGAGAGAACGTTAAACCGTACAAACGAATGTTTTCTTCCACAAAATACATATTGTCATGAATAAAATTCAATAAAAAAAAGCGAAGAAAGGGAGTCGAAAAAGGTGCAGTTGTTCGTCATGATGTTGAATTCATCAATTCAAACCTTGCACGTGCAACTTTTCTCACAACGTCTTTGTAACTGTCATTTGGATCAGCTTGATAATGAAGAGAACGAGCACCCAAACCCAAACCTCTTTGTCTCATTTGTGCCTGAATAGAAACGAGAAAAAAGTTATAACAAATCTTTTGAGAGCATAGTACAAGTCATACTTCAATTGGATCGGATCGTCCTTGCAAGTTTTTACCAATGCCAGCACCTTCTTTCCATCCATGTTTTTTCATTAGTTTTGATCCGATACTGACTGATGGTGCTGAAAAGACCAATAAATAAAGAAAATAACATTTTTGTATCACTATAGATGTTCTTAACTTACATTGAGTGGATCCTGAATCGCAGTCTTCAGCATTTGTTGATGATATTCTACTATAATTTTTTTCATATGACAGAGGTGATCGTTTTGATAATCCTTGTTTGGTATTTTTTTCATCTTTGCTATATTTATCACGTCGTTCTTTAGCGCGGTCACGATAAACTAACTGGAAAAGAAAAACGAATTTGAAACAAATAAGAGTTAGTTATTATTAAGAAAAAATACACAATACCTTCTGACTTCGAACAATGCCAACTTTTTCTAAATTTTCCTATAAATGAGATAGAAAAGAATGTTACATCAAAAACCTTGATGTTATTATTTTTGATGATTGAGCTTGGATATAATTTTCTATATAAGAATGGATAAAGAATAATTGCATTTGGCATTATCAACACCTGACGAGACAATGACTATATCACAATTCCTATAACCTTTGTGTAAGAAGAATACGTTTTGCTTTAGAAGAAAATACTTTAATGATTACAGCATATGATGTGAGTCACTTGATCATGATACATTCACTACTCTAATAAGAAATCGGTACGAACCTTATGCAAATTTGACATTTGTAAGTGTTTTTGTAATATATCTTTCGTATCAAATTGTCTTTGACATAGAAGGCATGTTAATTTAATCCAATCAATATATTTTTCTTCATTTTGATCCAATACATTGGTACTACTACCACTTGAACGATTTTTTCCATCTTCCCCATCGGAATCACTTTCACCAGCAATAACGTTATAAGTAGTAAGTGTATTATTTCCAGAATTAGATTTATTTGATAATGTTAACAATGGATTTGAAGATGTGGGTGCTGAAGACATCAATTGCATAGTTAAAAATCCAGGTATTTGTGATTCATTTGAACGAGTTGTTAAAGTATCATCTGTTATAGAAACTGGTTGTTGTGTTTCAGTTATCATTAATGGTTTAGTTTGATTTTTCTTTATCGATTCTTTTCGCTTATTCAATGTTTCTGCCCATTTTTCCATATCCTAACAAGAAACTGGTCACATAGTGAGAAAATTTGGAGAAAAAGTTACTTACTTTAGCAATTTTGTTCGCTGTTTTCACTTTTTCTGTTTTTACATTTCGCTCGTTTGTTGTAGAGACTAATACTGGTGCAGCTGTAATAGCACCATCGTTTATCGTCGTACTAGTGGTTGTTGGTTTCTTGTGAATTGCAGGAGGAGCTGAAATTGTTGTTATTGTTGAAGTTTCAGTACTTGTTGTTAGACAAACGGAGGCCGTATTGGATTTCGATACTTTTGTTTGATCAACGGGTATATAAGTTGATTTTGTTCCATCCCAATACATAAACTCTTGTGTATGAGGATTATAATAATAATGTGTTGTAGCATCATAGTAAAATGTTGTACTTGGATCATAGTAATAGCCCGATGCGTCATCATATTGATATTTCGATGTATTTGGAGTCGGATATTTATCTAACATTTTAAATTCTGAACGCTTTTGAGATGTTTGCGGCGGAGGTGATTGAGAATCGTCACTATCATTGTACTGGTGACGTCGATTGTAATGTTGAGACTGATAACGGCTACTACGTCTATGCGACTGAATATTTCGCATAGCCATTTGTGCAACAGCAGCTGCAGTATTCGTACGATCAACTACAACACAGAAAACAATACATCGATTCTATTTTATAAATTTGCTACCATTTTACCTTGATTATCCGGTAATGAATGTTGATAGTACTGGTAGCGATCCTAGAATAAAAGAAAAATTGGTTAGGAGTATCTCATTTAGCGAACAAAACTCTTATTTACATGATTGTAATCACGATAATTGGGATAATGTGATGAATTATAACCATCTCCACTTTTCATTTGTGTTATACTATAATGAGAAAAAAACCAAAAAGAAATATCAAAAGAAAAGATCAAATGGAGATTAGAAATATAAACATCTTACGCTGTTGAAAATGTATTTTTTGAATAATGTGCCATGACCAATTTGCCATCTAGCTCAATGGAGGGGTTTGTTGCTTGCAATTTATCGAAAACAGTTGTTGAATCCTAAAAAACTCCGATTTTATGGATGTATATCCCATGAATGAAAACCAAACAAATAAACATAATTTACCTGTATAGAATTAAATTCGATAAAGGCAAAACCACGTGAAACGCCTGTAACAGAATCTTTAGCAACGCACGAATTTTTAACCGGAATATTTGTTAATTCAAATATTTTTGTTTCAACCGCTTCTTTCGATGTAAGAGCATCAAGACCACGTAATACCAATGCTTAAGCAAATAAAAAAGTTGATTTAAACATTGAAAAGAAGAGAAACATCAATGTACATACTGTTGCATGGATTTGTTCCAATTGCTTCGTAGCCATCCAAATCACGTGAACGTTCCGATTCTAAAATTTAGATATCGGCATGACCAACTGTTTTTCTGTATTCACAATCTTTTAAATATAATTTTTATTCTCTATCCTTCTTTTTTCTAGTATTTTAGTGTTTTATACGATTATTGTCGTTGTTCATCATCATCATCATCATCATCGATTTCTATTGTGATTAAATGTGGCCATCGGCATGTTGCCAACATATAGATTTAAGTGGCCAAATACCAATAAACTTGATCAAAATACCAATCCATTACATTGTCGAGCACTCATCTCTCTCCTCCATGTGTAGTTGGAATGTGATGGAATAATATACTATACCTTCTCGTGTGAAATTGCAATTAAAACAATTTTCTCGACGCTTAAAATTATTGACACCACACTGAAACGTTATTAGATAGATAGGTAATAATTAAAGAGAAAACAATCGGCTTTTTTTTGGCTCGAATATATTTCGTGCTAGCAATTTGATAAATAATTAAGCAGCGTGTGTCTGGTTTAACTGTGAAGTGCATACCTTGCAACAATCCCAATCTGTCGTATGTAAATCAACTGTTTTCCGTCGATGTTCGCGATGTGTATTATCTTCCCATTTGTATGTTAATGTAACCGGAGTATCATTGAATAGAAATGCACCCTGAATAAAATATAAGACGAAAATGATTGTTTTAATTGTTTCTTCCATTTGTGTATGCCATAACCAATTTAAGGAAAGAGGACAAGAAAAAAAACGAATATCTCTTTTTAAATATATTTTTATAAACCTTCGTGGACTCTATCCAACGTTGAGCTTCCTGAATCGTATGAAATTCAATAAAACCAACACCACAATTGGTACCTACGTAGCAAGCGTCAAGAATTAAATAATATTTAGAAAAAAACCAAGAAATGTAGGCTTACCCGGCTCTTTTCGACGTGCTAATCTTGCTGCTTTCACTGGCACTTTGGCAATTAGCAGCTCGGATAAAAGCTAAAACAAAATACAAATAGAGAATAAATACCTTTTACACAAATACTTTATGGATCTGTTTTTACTTCATGTTCGTCAACATCAAGAGACAGACCACGCATTATAATTGTATTTGACGGACTACCAAAGGAGTGTGATGAATCATTCGACTCGTTGCTAAAATTATCCTAAAATAAATAATAAGAAATTCTACAGATAGCTTTTGATAAGCTAAGTAAATTACCGAATAACTTCTATGTCGACTTCTGCTACGACTACGACTTGGACTAGATGTACGACTTCTACTGCGCGTTGTTTTTTTTCTTCGTTTTGTTGATTTTACTTTTCTTTCTTTTGATTTTGAACGAGATGAATCAGATCTCGAATTTTTTGATAAATCACGTTTTTGTTTTGATATAGTCTCAACTATCGTCGTTGACGATTGTTTCTTATCGCGATTACGATTAGAATTTGAAATTGGTTCGTCATCATTTTTCTTTTTCAGTGGATGTTGTTGTTGTTCAATAGATTGTGGGGTGATTATTCGGTCTGGTTCAATACTTTTCCGCCTTTCTTGTTTGTCTGACTGTGATCGTTTATCACGGTGATCAGTAGTTTTTGATGTGTGCTCGCCTATATAGGAATGTATGTCATGCGATTTTTCTTTTGAGCGTTGATGTTGTTCACTTTGTTTAGGTATTGTTGTTGATGTGGACTTGACGTGGTCACGTTCTTTCGACGTATGACTATGATACTGTTTTCTATATGACGAACACGAACTTGTTTCTCGACGATCATTTGTGATAGGTAGATCGATATCCATGAAATTATCTTCATTCATCTTCTTTCGATCATTCTTCTCATCGGATGGTTTTCGAATTTCACTGCGAACATTACTATGAAGAATCTGACGATGGGAAGATGACTTTGTTCGATCTTTCACATCACCAGTTGAATCATTATCGTGATGTTCACGGCTACGATCAGCAGTTGTAACCATTCGTACATTTCGAGTATTTTTATTCCATTCGTGTTCACTAGTCGATTGTAACGGCTCATCATAATGGTGATAATCGACATGACGATTTGATTTTTCTCGAGAATTATTTCTAAATTGACGTAAAATAGCTAAGCATGTAGAAAAAGCTAAGAATGTAGAATGAAATTAAGGTAAATCATAAGTCTGATGGCATCGTTTTCTTGCACAAGTTAGAAAGGAATCAATACAAGATAAATAAGCTGAAAAAACTAATGGCCACTTTATCATAATTTCGTTTTGTATGTTTTTCCGAATGCAAAGTTGGAGAATGTCAAAAGAAATGGCGGACACTAATTGATCTACTACACTAACTTTTGCTGCTAAACAATCTCACGTATTTGTAAAAGCTTTCTTCGGTTGAAACAAGGCAACGAGCAAAAACGAATCTGAAAGAGAAATACCTGTCTACTGCGTTATGGCGTTCACCATGGAATGTTGTTAATCGTTCTCTTTTATCACTATTGTAATCGTCATCACCTTCATCGTGAAGTTGTGAAGGTTTTTCGGAGTGATCACTACTTTGTCGACTCAATAGATATCGAAGATCGTTAGGATTAGATGTGTACATGACAGTACGAGCTGGCGCTGCTCGTCCTGTTGATTGTGCTTGATGTTGAGAATTAATTGTAAATTTTTTTATGAGGAAAAATCTAAAATTACCACAATTTTAAAATATAAAAGCACTTGCCTTTAGTTAAAGGTCTACAAACTATAAATTATCTAATTTGACGAATTAGCTCTCAAAAGTTTTTCTACCTAGCGCATGCACGAGCTCAGAGGGAAGGGAATTGGAGGATCAATCTCCTCCCTGAAAGAATTTGTCCCTACTATACTTTCAAAATCAAAGATAAGAATTATAAGAAAACGAAGAGTTCTCCTTCTACTGGATGGAAAAATTTTGATCCTCCCTGATAAAAATCCTGGACACGTGTCTGACCTGGGATTTATACGGTCACCAAGAACATGTCCTGAATCATGACGTAGCTCCTCAGTATCAGCCCTCAGGATGGCTACTTTTCTGTTAAGTTTCAATGGCTTGTTGCTAAAGGAAGAGAAAATCGGAGTGAATTCTGAATTTTTGTGTTGAAACTGATGCTGTTTATATATGAATCATAGAGACAAAAAGACGAGGTGAATGATATCTATGCTCACGGAGTTTTTTCTCGTATCCTCTTCTATACATATCAAATTTCTACGTTTTTCCTTACGGTTATTCTGTTGACGGTTTTTCTATCACAAGTTTTATTCCACGATTTCCACCCCTATGGATACACTGTTCCGGAAAAGCATACTTTAATAAACACACTTAAATTGTGCCATGGAAAAAGTGTATCATCGGCACAGCACTTAAAATGTGCCGATGATACACTTTTTCCATGTCATTGCCACAATTTAAGTGTGCTTTTTCTAAAAGTATGCTTTTCCGGGACAGTCTATGCTTCACGATTTTAACATTCCCGTACTTTATCTTGCGACTTGAAACACACGCTTTTCTCCTCATCATTTTCTATTACACGATTTTTTTGAACGTTTTTTTGTGCGACGACCTTCGATTTCACGCTTTATTAAACGTTTTTTTCTCCATGTAACCTGTCGAAGTTAAATACACAACTTTAATCTGTTGTCATTTAGAAGCGGAATATTATCAGAAAAATTCATGCATATTATCTATTGTTGTGTTTCCTTTCGCAAACAACTGAATAAAGTTATATTAACCTGAAACTTGAAAAACTAAAAATATTATTTAGTTGTGAATGTTCTTCCGTCATCATCAAAGAAAGAAAAGTCTGTCTCTTAGCTGATTGGCCAAATTCCGAAAGAGAGAAAATAGAAATGGAAGATCATATACTTACTAAAATAGATTGTTGTTTGACTGAAAAAGGTTCATCAAACTTGAAATGATTTATCATAAACTCTCTCTTTTCGTCTTTCAAGATTCACTTTGATTTCAATTATTAAACTAATTGTCATTGGCTTACTAACAGTCGTATTAAACAGAGATCAGCACAGTGGGTTTTATGTATAAGGTTTTGTTATAGTAGGCGTAAAATTAAGGCGTAAGTAGTACAGGCACCCTGAAAAATTTAATTAATATCTGAGTTCTTACGTCTGTCATAACTCGAAAAATGTGTTCTTGCTGTTTCCTCATAAACGATTTTTTTCCGACCTTGAAAAAAAGAATTTTGAAGGTCAGATGACACCGTGTAGCTGTAGTGTTGCTCCCATGAATTGAGGATTGAAAAACCAGGGGTTATTGCAAGAGAATAGATTAATAATTTATCCACTAATAGTTTCCAATTTGAGGTGAATTAGATTTCGGGCGCATAGGCTGGAAAAGCATTTTACACTAACACAAAATTACAGCAGATTCTTTATACTATCATGGTGATAATTCTTACTCATTACTCATTCTTACTAATGATAGTGCATCTGTGTTTAATAACGTTACTATTTTATTCACTTTTTTTTTTTTATTTAAGATAAACAAGGATGTCAATGAGTACGCCTATTTTTATTTACATAATTGTTAATTTTGTGCTGAAATGACAATGATTTTCGGGTAAATATATGATATTTATGCTATTATATCTGATGTGCTTACATCTTCCTTGTTTGATTTTTAGATACAATTTTCCTGTGTCAGATTTGATTTAATTGTGTAATTATTTTTGAATAAATAATAAAAATGTTTAGTCAGCTAGCCTATTCGTATGCTGATGATGAGTATGATCAATTGCCTCCATTACCACCTCAAATGAAAGCGCCTCCAAAAAAGGCTGCTCATTTGCTGGATATTCCGACGGGCAATAATGCATGGAGTGCAGTGTTACAACAAGCTGAAATGCGTCGACGTAAAAGACGTCAAACAACGCCAGAACATCCTAGGCGAGCGTTATTTTGTTTAACATTGGATAATAAATTACGAAAAACATGTATTAAACTAGTGGAATGGAAGTAAGATAGCAGTATCACTTAACGATCATAGAATATAAATATTTTTTATTCTTCCAGACCATTTGAATATTTGGTGTTATTAACAATCTTTTGTAATTGTGCTGCATTAGCCTTGAGTAAACCATTACCGCATAATGATACAACCCCAAATAATTATATTCTAGTATGTTTGGATTATAATCTATAGTTATTTAGAGATAATAAATTTTATTTTTCAGGAACAAATTGAATATATATTTTTGGCTATATTTACAATGGAAGTAATATTAAAAATAATTGCATATGGATTTTTTTTACATCCAAATGCGTATCTAAGAAACGGTTGGAATATACTCGACTTTGTAATTGTCGTTGTTGGGTATGTTTTTATTACTCTATAATTTGCAAACTCATACATATTTCTTCGTATTTTAGTTTCCTAAGTGTTATATTGATCAAATATGACGTGCAAGGTTTTGATGTTAAATCATTACGAGCATTTAGAGTTATTCGACCATTGAAACTTGTCAACGGTGTTCCGAGTAAATAATATTAAATATTTATTAGTGTGTGCTGTGGCTTTCTATATAATCTATTATACCATTTGTCAAACTTACAAACGTTTTCGTTACTTTATTCTGGTAAAATATGAGAAAACTTTTCCAACCTGAACCCAAAAATAATAGCGAAAATATAATGCAAAATCTTTCTTCATAGCACAGTGCAGATGAATCTTTAAAAAAAGAATGCTCTTTATCCCTGTTTATGTCTCATGCATTTATCCCTGAACCCGTGTATTGCACAACAGTGTTTTGTTTTTAATTCACATGCTTTTGTTATTTTGTGGTGTATTTGCTTGGTGATTGTTGCATTATTTGTTTTTTTGTGTTGTAAACAGATTATGTTTTTGTGGTGAATTTTATTGGACATTATCGTTGCATGTATACACAAAATGTCTTGTATCTTTTATGGTAAGCCAAAATATTGTTCCTCATTGTATCTTGCACACAAATAAAAAATATGCCACTGTTCTATTGTTCTTTTCTAGGTTTACAAATTGTTCTTAATTCAATTTTACGTGCAATGGTACCATTGTTACATATTGCTTTACTCGTTTTATTTGTTATTATTATTTATGCAATTATTGGATTAGAGCTATTTTGTGGCAAAATGCACATGACATGTTACATCGCCAATACAAGTAAGATACATAGTTAAGTAGTGTATATAAGTAGAAATTTCTACTTTTCATTTGTGTGATATTAAGCTAACATGCCACGAACCGACGAAATTCGTCCATGTGGTAAAACAAAGGGACGTCAATGTCCGCCCAACGAAGAATGTAAAGATCTCGGTTGGGTAGGGCCGTGGTATGGATTTATTAATTTTGATAATTTTGGCTTGGCGATGTTAACAGTGTTCCAGTGTATTACCATGGAAGGATGGACATCAATTATGTATCGAGTATGATCATTGTTTAATTCATCTTTTGCAAGATCAGAGTGGATGAATATATTGTTTGCTTGTTCCAGATCAACGATGCTGTCGGAAGAGATTGGGCATGGATATTTTTCGTATCCTTGATTATTATCGGAAGTTTTTTTGTTATGAATCTTGTTTTGGGTGTTCTCAGTGGGTAAGTGAAGCGGCGATTAGTCAAAACAATTAATCTGGATATATTTTTGTTTTTATTACAGAGAGTTTAGCAAAGAAAGAGAAAAGGCCAAGCAGCGTGGTGATTTTCAAAAACTTCGTGAAATTCAAATAATTGACGAAGCGTATAGAAATTATATGGCATGGATAAGAAAAGCTGGTATGATATGATCGCTAATTTCAAACATTTCAATGTCTATTTATTGTATTGCTCTTAGAAATTGGCAATGATAATGTGGATAAAGAAGATGTTGATAGTATGTTATATTCAACTGAAAATGTTTTACACAAGTTTTATTTTGTTTGTTTCGTCGTTCTAGAAAAACTAGATGGTGAACCAGGTGAAGTTGGACAAAAAGAAGGGATAGCAGAAAAACATTTTAACTGGTGTCAAGTGAAATTGTAAATGTTTTATGTCTGTCTAATTCTTATTCTTCTTTTTTACTAAATTTTCATTGATAACTTTAGTCGTCACATTCGTAATTTTCATTCATATACCCGTCGCCGTATTCACGCACTTGTTAAATCTCAATTATTTTATTGGATTATTATTATTCTTGTATTATTAAATACCATTGTCTTAGCATCTGAACATTATCCTCAAGCGATTGAATTAACATATATACAAGGTAGGTATAGAAATATGGTTGTTTCTTGAATGCATATGCAACTGAAATTTTTATCTTATTTAGATATGGCTAATCGTGTATTTGTATGTTTATTTTCGTTTGAAATGTTATTAAAAATGTACAGTTTAGGCATAACCGGTTATTTTGTGTCAAATTTTAATCGTTTCGATTGCTTTGTTGTTATCGGTTCAATAGTTGAATTTGTGTTACTCTATTTCAATCTCATGCCACCATTAGGTATCAGTGTGTTACGTTGTGTTCGATTATTAAGAGTATTCAAAGTGACACGATATTGGTTAGCATTGAGAAATTTAGTTGCATCATTGTTAAACAGTATGAAATCAATCGCATCTCTATTATTATTATTGTTTTTGTTCATTGTTATATTTGCTCTATTGGGTATGCAAATGTTTGGAGGAAAATTTGATAAAATATATGATGTTGAAGAAAAACCACGAAATAATTTTGATTCATTTTGGGGTGCACTTATTACAGTATTTCAAGTAAGTAGCTATGAACTTATTTCAGGGAGAAGGGGAAATTTCACCTTAAGTGTTTAAATGGGGTAGCCGAGTAATTGATAAAATTGTAAAAATATAGAAACCCTCACTCCGTTCGACTTATCTAATGATCTCTTCTCTTAATTGTGAATTACAGATTTTAACTGGTGAAGATTGGAATGAAGTTATGTACACTGGTATTCGTGCACTGGGTGGACTCGGTTCATTTGGAACAGTTGTTTGTTTTTATTTCATCATCTTATTTATATGTGGTAACTATATTTTATTGAACGTGTTTTTGGCCAGTAAGTACTGAGTTCTAAAATGAATATTGTAACAAATTCTAACTATGCATTTTACTTACGTCATTAGTTGCCGTTGACAATCTTGCTGACGCAGAAAATTTAACAGCAGCTGAAGAAGAAGAGGAAAAGAAGAGAAAAGAGTTAGATAAAGCAAAATTGGTAGGATAATGTAAATATGCCCGAAGAGGGTATCAGTCTAATTTATTTTTATTTGTCCAACAGATAAATGAACGAAAAGCAAACGGTGACGTCAAAATAGAGTAAGTATTGACAGTATATTTCAATTATAAAAGAGTTTAATACTTGTTTACTTTTTAGCAATGGAAACGGACAACTTTCTGGTATGTGTTTATTGCTTTGAAAACAGTTATTTTATTTTTCCTGTTTTTAATCTTCAGACAAGTTAGGTGAAACAACGATACCACTCGATAATG